TGGGAGTCCCAAGCCCCTCAGGATTTGTCTTTATCACAAGCCCCTCAGGATTTGTCTTTATCACAACACCACGGGCAGGCGCTGCACGCGCCTCCTCGGCAGTGTCACTCGTAGAGTATCCAAAGGTGGCTGTCTGATTCGTACTGGCGGATCCTGAACTGCCTTCCAATGCTAACCTGTAAAAGGGTGACTGGCCTATTATGGGGCTGTAAACCACAAGCACAGTACCCTTGCTTCCAAGCAAACTTTTCTCGCGACTGGTCGTCACAGCTCAGCTTGGTCTGACGTGTGGGTCAAAGGTGAATGGCAGGTAGCTATAATTAATCCCACTGCTTCTTCAGCTAAGAGACGCCTTGAGCCAAACAACATTCAACCACACACTTGCCAAGAACCGACTACGTAACATACAACGCCTATGAGAAGATGGAAATGTAGAGTTTAACAGGTCTCATCAAGACATACCACGTGGACATGCTCCAGATTTCTGGCTCTTTGACGCTCAGCGTAACGCCCTTTTTAGGGTGTTTTGTAGGCAAGGGGAGACTGTTGTTTGTCCCGCAAGGCGCTGGACTGCCAACTGAAAATTCCCAGGACGCACCTTACGGTAAGACGCCGGTCATATGTGGCTTATCAAAACCCTTCGCTCAAGATTCCTTTCATCGAGGATCGCTATGACATGCCTGGGGCTCGACGTTTGATGGCTCGCTCATGGGTGGGCGCTCCGAATTCGAGGTGGCCCCGGAACAGGATTGACTGCATTGCCACCTGAGGACGGCAATTGGGAACTCAGTCACAGCAAGAAAATCGCAAGGCCTTGAGCTTACAATTCTTTAAATGGACCTTTTGAGGACACGAAGCTGTCCTGATTCAGAAATCGCAACTTTTGAGGACTTCAACTGTCCGTTGTTTGCACTACGTAACCAATAATGGTCGGCAGTATGTCACCATAAGTACTTGAGCACTGGACTCAACTTTTTGGAAAGATCCGAAGGGGGAGTGTGAAGCCGCTCCACAGTCTTCCAGCGCGATGAGGGGAACGTTCTTTCCAAGGCGTTTTGCATCAAGATACAAGGAGTTGAGTAGCTGTGCGCTCACATAGGGTTTAGGGTTCATTAAGGGTTTAGGGCTTTAGGGGAAGGAGGAGAAAACGATTCATGGGTAGCATGGGTGAGCAACATGGGGGTTTCTGAGCATGCCGAAAGTGTGGGACGCAGGCCTTGGAGCGTTTTCCAGTTTTCCCTTACGACATATAAAGAACTCTTTGAACTCCTGGCATGATTTTCGTAAATCTAGTCCTATAGTTAAATATTTAGCAAGCTCTTCACTCTACATGTAAAACCTATTCAAAAGCAGCTGAAGCAATTCCTACAAAGGGTTCACGCCATGATTTCTTGAGGCCAGCTTCAAGCATTAACTTCAGCTTGTCGATTTGGTTACGCAAGTATTTCGGATTGATTCATAGGGTTGACGCCTAATCCACATAATTCCTGTTAAAGTCCGTTTCCAACTTGATTGTCAGCATAGCCCCCTTACGACTGAGTTCTAATATATACAAGTACAGACATTTAACGCCTTCAGCACACCTTTCAAATCGCTTGCTGGAATCCCTAGTACACTCAATGTACTCGTGCAAACTCCTTCCCAGATATTATCCTGTAAATTTAAGGGCGCGCGGTTATTCTGCCACCCCTGCATTTTCTGAGGCTCTAAATTCTTGAGCGCGCAATAATAAAGTTACTTATGAAGGAGCATATGTATATATATATACATACAGGCTGGTATGCATACTCCTCCGCATTTCCTAGCTTCTTGTCCGAGCAGACCCATATAGGGCATGTTCATCTCAATAAGATTTATACATCCTATTAGGGTGCTTTACATAATTATTGCATTCCCTCGTTTCAGAAGGAAGTATTCTTAGGGAATCCCATTCCCTGCAATGTGGGTTAAGGGTATTTAGTATTTGGTATGCTCCTTCTCCTTGCTCGTATATTCCAATAATTTCCAAGAAAGCAACGAACACAGTGATGGTCCTAAACACAACCACCAAGGGTGTTTATAAACACAGGTGTGTTTATACACACAACTAGAGATACAGGGGCTATGCAATTCACTTGAAAGAAGTGGAAGCTCCAGTTCCTTGCAGATGTCTCCTTTGATTCCGTAGAAATTTAGAAATTCAACAGAATAAGCTGGAGCTCCTTTTGAGAAGACGTTGTGCTTTAGTTAAAGCACACCTCTTTTACATAAATACACTACTAAGAAATCATACCGTTTAAATATTAGGGGTGGGGTGAGGTGGGGGTGGGGTGGGGGTGGGGTGGGGGACTCTTGGAACATAAGCTGAAGATTCCCCCCACCTCCCACTCCTACATATGGTTACCTGCAAACATAATCCTAGGATTTGCCATGGAGCCTGCTGTGGTGCCTCTTAGAAGCGCGCATAATCCTAGGATTTGCTATGGGGCCAGCATATGCATAAGCAAATACATGCCATAACTATATGAAAACCTTACTTAGAAAGCTACTGTATTCACCTGGGATTTACTATGGGGCCTGATTCAGCCTATGCACAAGGAAATGCATACCATAACTATATGAAAGCCTTACAATAACTCAAAAATGCCTATATCTAAAAAACGCAGGCCCCACAGCCACCTCTTCTGTTTCGCGCACTACACTAAGGCTCCTGCTTCATTACCTTTATTGCGGTCAGAAACTAGGGCTGACAGCAAATGTTAGCTTCGCACTCAACGAGGGTTTCTGGGAAAGTTAACTTCATTAGAAGGAAACAAAATGTTCCAGAAACCTTTCCTGGGGTCAGAAATAAGGGCTGATGGCAAGTGTTGGTTTCGCACTCAACCAAGGCCCGCGTGAGGAGGGTTGTGGGGTGCGGGGCGCACGTACACCAACTGCCCCATTTCGGCCCAACCACAAATCGCACCCCAACATCCCCGAACCCTATGAGCGTATGCAGCCGGCAACCCCAAATCCTACCCAAGATCCCCGAACCCCATCACCCTACGCACGCAACCTGCAACCACAAGGCCAAGTGGCAATATCCCACTCTCTAGTCACCCAACCCCATCGGCAGTACGCAAGCTGCAACCCCAAGTCCCACCCAAAAGACCCCAAGTCCATCAGTGCAAGCAACATGCAGACCCCAAACCTCACCCCAAAATCATCCAACCCCATCAGAGATCCCACCTACAAATTCTCCAGGCACATGTCCCAAAACCAACCGAAAACCCTAGTCCATCAGCGTAAGCAAGCTGCAACCCGAAATCCCACCCTAACGTCACCCCATCAGAGTACGCAACCAGCAACCCGAAATCCCACCCTAAAATCGTCAACCGCCCCTTCCATTTCGGCTGGAAAAGTGGGTGGGGTGGATGGGAAGCAGCCATTTCGATTTAAAAACAATCTTGTTTTCTGGCAAATGTTTCTGAAAACGCTTGTTTCCAAGAAACGTTCCGGAAAACCCCGGCTTCCGGAAAACCCTAGTTTCCGGAAAACACTGATTTCCGGAAATCCCAGGTTTCCGGCAAAAGTTTCTGGAAAACCCGGGTTTCCAGCAAACGTTTCTGAAAAACGTTTGTGTTCACACTAGGGGGGAGGAGGGGAAACAAACTAATTCAGAAACTTTGGAAACGTTTGTTTTTAGGCAGAAACCAATGTTTTCTGGAAACATTTGTTTCTGGTCAGAAACTAAGTTCTCCACAAAATTGTTTGTTTACGGGTGCAAACAAAGGTTTTCTGAAAACGCTAGTTTTCCAGGTGCAACCAACCTTTCCGTTCAGCGTTAGGTGGTTTCCTGTAAGGGGGTCCAGAAACGTTCCAGCACTTGGCAGAAATGTTTGTTGGCAACTGCTGTTTCGCAGAGACGTTTGTCGAACACTGACGTTTTTCAGAAACGTTTTTCAGAAATCAGTGTCTTTCGGAAACGTTTGTTGCGAGAAACGTTTGTCAGGCACGTTTGCCGGAAACCAGGGCTTTCCGGGAACGTCTATTTTCAGCCTAAAGTTACTTCTCTTATGAATACAAACCTTTTCGCCTCCGCCGTGTGTCTCCCAAGGCGAAGTGGTCCGGGGTAGCGTAAAGGTCTGGAAAATACTGTTTAGACATAACCTCAACCCAGTGTAGAAATTGCATGCCTCTACGGCGACCCTGGTTAGGTATGCGGGCTTTCTGTGCAGAGCTGAAAACCACAGAATGATGCACTTCAGATCGTGGGGAGTTGAAGACTTCGTACATCATCTTAAATTGGGACACGCTGCGAAATCCAGACGGGAGTTTGGGCCTACCTGCACGGTTGTAAACCTCCGTGATTCGACTCCTTTAGGGATCAGGGTTGATGAGTTCGGCTTAGAATTTTGGTCGAAGAGCTTTTAGGGGTGCGGTGGTGTGTGGTGGGTGGTGGGTGGTGCACGTGCACTGGACCGGCAGATACCGGCAGCAAGGGCGCACACTAGACAGGGGTCTGGACGTGTCCTCGCCACCCCTTTGCTGATAAATGTCAGATTCAGGCCTTGTTCACGGCTTTTTGCAGGGCATTGTGAACACGCTCTAACCTTCCATGGGCCGGCGCGTTGCCAAACAACACTGCATGCCTCTAATTGTAGCATGCTCCACTGAGCAGCTGGCACTTTGTCATGCGGCTCCACAGTTCCACGCGCAACTGGCCTCAGAGCTCTCTTTCACGCCATGGAGCATGTCATTCGCAGCCAGGATAAAAGTTTCCCACGCATAGCCGCCACCGTAACCTTTGGGCGTCAGCCGGGGCGCCTTTGCCTCATCGAGCTTACAAACATCTTGCAAACAATATCATAACCTCCGCACACGCCTTGGACAGGCTCGATGGCGACTGCCAATCGCGCTGTGCTCCTGGGGAAGAGCTTGTGATGTTCTGCGTTGTATGTCATATTTAGAACGGAATATGAATGAATGAAACATGAAAACAAATAAGGGCAAAAAAACATGGCTGATGTTGAGAACGAAGAAGCGGACAACAACAATGACAATGACAGGGACGACTGTGATGATAATGAAGATGTTCCGTCCGCATGCTGTGAGCCCTCGTCATGGTAAAGGCTTGCGAAAATGATATGCACCGTGTGCTGCGGATGCATGGCGGGACACGGCAAAAGATGAGTTTGCAGCATGATGTCTTTTCACTAGAGTTGAAAGATTCTCTGCTTAAGGTAGCCTGGAAGCCTGGATTTGCATAGACGGACAGGAAAAGGTGAATGAAAGGCCAACAAGGACAAATCCAGGATCCCTGAGAAGCTTAAAGAGAGGTAAGTGGAAGCTTCCCGACAGCCATACAACCTCTGACGAAGAAAGGATATGTCAGAAGCTAGTAGAGACGAAAACTGCGTCGCGCTTTACCTAGTATTACTTCACTATACACCCACTCCAATAAATTGCAGCAGTGGAAGCAGCGGCCGCATCGCTGGTGTGGTGACGGCGGGCGTTCTTCTTTTTGCTATGCAGCCTCTGAAATGAACTTGACGTGCCTTTGTTCTAGCTTTTTTCATCTTTTTGGTGGACGCATCTCGGCCCCAAAAAACACTCTGGCCGAAGCCAAATGATTTAAAACCCTAGGAACATGCCTTAGAGGATGTCAAAAGCTCAAACAGAACTGCCTAAAAAGCAAAAACGAGCTGAAAAGAAGCTGAACACAGCTGATCTTGACTCTGCAAATGTAGCTTGCATGAATTTCCCTGAGGCCATGGAGAGTTTCATCGGGCAAAGCCCCACTGTTCTGCTCATGCCTCCACTACCCCCCTTTTCAAAAGAATGATGAGAAAAGCATTGGAATGACTCCGCTTTTACATCTTGAAGCACTGTTGGGACGCATGCTGTTTGCTGGTAATAGCCGGTCAGACATTACTCCAGCGTCACCACCAATTACGACATCACGAAATATCAGCACCGTGTCCATTAAATCGTCAAACAACGTAAAGGGGATAACGGCACTGACTCTGAATGGGCAAAGAACTAGATCCAAGCTATCCCAAAGATGTCTCAAAGTGTTTGCACCTCAGCCCAGCTCTAACGGTCAAGTGGCGAGCCTGACCCACCGAGCGTTCGTCCGTAGCCTCCCTGTCAGACTGGCTGAGGCTAAACTTGCTAAACTGGGAGGCAGTGACATGAGGTGTGCCAGGTCTGTGCACGGTGCTAGAGATTGAGAAGGCCCTTGACATTGAGCGAGATGGCTCTCTCAACGCAAGTCCAGTTCGTACCAAGGCTTTGCTGAAGCAAAGCTTCACGAACCTATGAGGATCAACAGTCCCGTCAAAACAACTCCGGAGGATCAGTCATGGCTCGGTCCTGCACGGCAAGCAAACCAAAATCCTTTCCCGAGCATTATGCTGTAGTTGCTTACCACCTGAACCTGCGCGCTTTTCTCATGGTGAACAGACTTTAGAACAGGCACCGGCCGGTTTTACATTTTGATGCTGACTCGTGTAATTTGTAACCCGCAATTCAGGAAGGCAGACCATATTCTTCAGTGGGACCTTCTGCTGCGGTACCACAGGCATCGTGAGCTTTCTGGCCACATCCGGCATTGCAGGGCGCACCTCGATTTTGAAACAAACATAAACCTAACAGAGGTGATGGCAAGGATCTTAGCAGAGATCACCACGTTCATAGCCCCCAAACCGTTGGCATCCTGGTACCTGGCACCAGTATGCAAGCAGCTGAGATCTGGGTGCAGAAGAACTACGACTTCTACTGCCCGAACAGATTTAGGAGGCTTCACCACTTTGCCCACCCTCGCAGCAAGCTTTGTGTGTACCATGAATCCATTAGGTCTGACTCTACTGCAACACTCGAGGGCACAAGAAGAAAGTGACGTCCGCCCCAACGCCGGGCAGGTCCTCCTGCACATCCTCTGACAAACAAAAGTTGCTGATAGCCTATTGCTGGAGCTTGAGACCGCGCCTCACCAGCCATGTAAATGCGCCCGTGGTTCCTGAAATTCAACTAAAGACGAACAGAATATCCATCCCAACTCCAAGAAGTATGCTATCCACATCTCTACGGTGTAGAGAAGTAGAGTCTACACAATGCTTCCACATTGCGATGAGGCATGGTGACTTTCAACCTCTGGTTTATCTCATCTTTTACAACAATTGACAGGCTTGATCAGCCTGTGGGCTTCAGGGTGCTCGATGGGCTGAATAGCCTGCGGCGCGGCAGAACTCAAGAAGCAACCTTTGCCGCCAGCCTTGTTGCAGAGGTTGCACATCAAAATCGATGACTCATTTCAGATGATGGTTGGCTCTTCGATCCCAAACCAGCTTGCTTCTAATCATCCTTCTTCTGCTTGTTTTGAGGAAGTGGTGTTTATCGACAAGCCGACAGCGCAGTACAACAAAGAGACTGGGCAAGAGATGGCAAGAGAACCACAGGATCAGGACTGGCTGGGACTTGGAAGCTCGACGACTGAGAACCAGTGGACCAGTATGGATCAGCAGACCCGAGAATCACGGCGCTACATAAATACACATCTCTGATGATTCTTGATAAAGAGCATGGGGAAAGTCTGGCCTGAATCCAACCGAAGTTGCCATGCCTCAGCAGAGGAACGGAAGAGCAGTCGTGAGCTGTGGGCGTCTGTGATGCCAGCTTTGCTTCTCTTGATTCAGACCAGGTGGGCAAATTTACCGAGAGTCTGCACAAGCTCAGCTGGACACCAGTCCAGGACTTGTCCATGCACTCGCTTCGTACCTTGATGCAACAGATTCCAAGTTCGGCAGTTGGCCTTGCATGGGCCCTTTATTTGCGCTGGAAAGCTTCATTGCATTACACGGGCACTAACAAGTCGCCGCTGCTGGACTGGTTGGGGACTGCGTCCTGAAGACGAGCTGTCCATTCAAGCTGAAGGCTGAAAACATGTCACACTGCAATGCGGATTGCAAACAATTACTCCTAAAGGAAATATCCATCAGGGAACTATGGTCTAGCACAAGTCCCTTCGCCACACCCAGCCCATCCACCGGCCAGGAGGTCCTTTCAACGACCCCTTCATGGTGCGAAAAAACGCACGTGTTTGTTGGCACACAACAAGAGATGGTTGCTGGTTACATAGTGACACAAGAGATAGACCCTGCTGTTCTCTTCTCTCACTAGGCAGATGATTGGAGCATGCAGCTCTCCTGACATCTCTGATTTAGTGTGCTAACTTCACCTGTTGCCAAAGCGGCTGCAACAAATGCAATCCGACATGCTAGAGCAACGCGTCATTACCGCAGCTCACTTTTTTTGCCTGGACAAGCTCAGTCACTGCAGGCTATGTAAGCATTGGCGTCTTTCAGAAAGAGACATTTAGGGCCGCAACCCTCCTAATCCTCCTAGCTGGGAGTGAGAAAACCAGGCAGCAAACTGACCAAAATTTGTACTGGACTAGTCATTTCAGCAAGTAGCTATGCTTGGCCTTCTTGAATACCCACTTGGATTAAGAGCAGTGACACTGTCAATTCAAAGTACTTGCAATCTGTTCGTAGCCTGTTATGAAACACAATGCGTTCTGCGTGACCTGTGCTATTCAATGCCTTGTCATGAAGAGCTCATCCATTACGGATCATTGCGGCTGGAGGGGGCAAGTGTAATTACTTTTGTCTCAAGGCTCCCTAGTTTCCCTTGTTCATACTTGGTGTGTGCTTTAGTTGTTTATCCAAGGTTTAACCTAAACGAGTTAAAAACAACTACACACAAAGCTTGCTTCCTGAGGTCTCTCACCAGCCTGACCGAGAAGCAATTCGTACAATATGAGGTGAAACACCAACGTGCAGGTGGGACATAAGCACATACATGGATAGGGTTCCAGTACATGTTGTGCACGACAACTGTTTTGCTGCAAGAAGAAACTGTAAAGGCAGAAGCAAAGGTGCGAAAACCCAAAATTCTGGGCCTTCGAACCCAAGCATGCAACCTCAGCTAGACACCTTGGGACCACACATCCCCACAGCCTGCCGGAGCCAGGTCTGGGTATTCAGACAGCTCCTACATAATCAGAATCACTCTGACGCAGGTTGTATGCCTGCACAAGCTTTTGCAAAGCATGGCGAGAAAACTGTGCCAGAGATTCCACATGAGTGTCGTCCTCCATTCCTGTCAATCTAAGATTCGGGCCTTGATGTGCCGAGCCTAGGCAAGTAGCATTACATAAACACAAGTGCACGCGTGGCAGCTGTGACTGTGCGCAACACGTAAGACGTCATGAAATCATCGTCCTGCCGTGTCTTGGCAATTGATTCCTTCTCGCATATCATCTTTCAGCTGGAGATTCCTTTGAAAAGCTTGCCTTGGCCCTTGCCGACAAGCGTCTGGAACAAGCTCCCTCTCCCTACCCTTCCCCAACGACACTCGTTTTCTCCATATCAAGCTCTCTCTTCAACACAGCCACACCATCTGAGACTCACCGATTTTTAGAATGTCGTTTAGAGGATGATTCCACGCGGGTGGGTAACCTTTTTTTTCCTGTGCGCAAGCCCGGTTCAGAAAGACTGTCAGATTGGGCAGCTGTCATCTAATACGTCTTATAGTGGGTTTATTGACTATGATCGTCCAAACCCTACGGTTTTAAGTTTGAGATTGAATTCTTCAAAAAAGGAAGTATTATCCATCCATATTAGAGAGTTGGACACATGTGATATCTAACATTGGAAGATATTGTCCATCCTAAAAAAGGAGTGATCGATGTCAGAGTGTAAAGTAGGGCTGTCGGACTCTAGATGGGAGATACGTTGCGAAGCCTCTGCCATGGTGGATTCTGCCCAATGGAGGTGTGGGCGGCCAACCCGATTCGGGTCTCTCGTAAATCTGTATTGCAGATTTACTTTAGAAGATTGGATTGATACTCTAAGGATTGGGATGCCTGAAAATGTGACCCAAAAGAGTAAGTCCATTTTGGGAGTAGATTTGCGAAGGGAAAATTACTCTCATAGAATTAAAAGCTAAACCTGAAAGGTATTGATTAGAGCACTCTTCTGTGGTAGGATTGATAACTCTGTGATAAAAGGAGGATTTGATGCCAAATCTCCTTCGGATAGACTTAAAATGAATGTGGTTTTGGCGTGTCAATTGAGGAGGAGTGTTACCGGCATCACGTACACAGAACCTAGGAGAGGAGTAGAGTGACATAATAGAGCGAACGAATAGTTGGGGAAACCCCATGTGATGAAGGGCCGATTCGATAGCTGGGAAAGTAACTTAGTCGAATGCCTTAGACCAATCTAGAAACAATACGTGGAAGGAGTTGGGCTGTCTTTCAAACACGTCGAGAAACTTTCTCATAATGTGTATGGGTTGAGTAGTGGAGCGGTTGGCGCGGAAGCCAAATTGGGTGGAGGGAATTCTATCGTCGAAAAAGTGTGAGAGACGTTTTTGAATAAGGGAGGCATAGACCTTGTACATTGTATTGGTAAGAGAGATGGGTCGATAATTTGAGAGGTCGCGAGTATTTTGTTGGATTCTTTTTACAAGCATAACAACATCAGAAAGCAGTGCACGCTCCAATTTGCGTCCAGCGCGCACTCTTAAATCAGCATCCAGTGCGCACTCTTTTTGCGTCCAGTGCGCACTCCTCCGCGAACTGAACTCCTGCACGCATGCAGAGTTTAGGGGTTTCGGGGTTTACGGTTTAGGGGTTTAGGGTTTAGGTTCAGCTTTTACGGTTTCAGGGTTTAAGGGTTTAGGGTTTCGGGTTTAGGGTTTGGGGTGTGGTTACGGCATAGGATGCTCGCTGGTGTTGGACACACCCAGGCCCCTCGCATCGGTGCATAGCGGCATAGCAGTCAACCCACCCCATGACCACGGTGAATTCAAGCAATTTAGGGTTTAGTTCCTAAAGTCTTATGGGCATCCCGGCCAATGACGCTCAGGGACGTGCCATCAAAAACCCTCATGGAACAACCGGCTTCCCGCACACAGCCGCTTCTTGCACCAGCAAAAACTCACAGATCGAAAGGCTGTCACACACGTTGCTGCTGGGAGTTGCCAGCAAAAACCCTCACAGAACAGGGGGCTGCCGCACACGTGTCCACGCTTCTGGATGTTGTAACAACCCTCACAAATTGAAAGGCTGCCGAAGCATTGCTGCTGGGAGGTGTCGAGGCTCGTGAAGGCCCCAGGGATATGCGGGAATGTGACAGCAGACGGAACAAGGGGCTGCCG